CCCCAAAAAAAAAAAAGATAAAAAAATTTAGCAATATTATGCTTACCAAATTTCTTACAATTTTTTTTCCTAAGTGATCTGTCACAATTTTTATCATTAAATATTAATGTGATTCACTTATTTGATGGTGAAAATTATACTACATAACTTGAGATAGAAAACTTGGTCAAGGTTAAAACAAATAGTTAATTAGGTTAGGGTTTCTCCTTTGGTGTGTAAATTAATTTTAGTGCTATCAAATTTTTGAAAAAACTTGAATGCAATTCCTCTATTGGCGCGAATGTTAAGAATTTGGTTAGTTATTAATTTTCATTATCCATTTTGCCATCATCACATGATTTCAGTCTAAAATATAAATTTTTTTTTTGAACATTTGTTATTGAGATTTTTGCAGTGTTGTTTATTAGTTTTGAAATTCAAACTTGTGAAACAAGTTATTTGGACATTATGATGACATCTGACGATCTATATTTTTAATATGTCTGTCTGACGATCTATGTTTATGGAAAAGAAAATACATTAACGATCTGTATGTTAGTGTATCTGTCTGATAATCTATATTTTAGTATACATGTCTGATGATATGTGGTTATAGAGAATAATGTATATTAACGATCTATATTTATAAAAAAGAAGATATATTAATGATATATGCTTTAATGTACTTATCTGACAATCATTGCGTATTTGTCAAAATTACAACTGGTGGGGGACATGAATCTTTCCCCTCAAATGAATTAATTACAACATATTCAAAGTTTGAAGGAATTTAAAAAAGATACTAGATTGAATTTTTAAATTTGTAGGAAACTTTTGAATTCAAAAATGGAAACCTCTTAGCTGCCTTTGATAGCGTCTTTCTTCCTTAAACTCTCAGTTGGCGTTGATCATGGAGGAGACGAAGTTTTGCTTCAGTAGAAAGCAAATACACATATGTTGTTCATCGTATAGATACACACAATTGNATTTTGTTTCAGTAGAAAGCAAATACACATATGCTCTTCATCGTATAGATACACACAATTAAATTATCATAAGTATTCAAATTAAAAATTAAATATTATGTTTCAGTCATAAAGGGAAGATTTCATATGTGGTTTATTTGTTTTATATTTTTTTATAAAAAAAATAGAAAAAGATCATTTTTGAACGTCCTTCAACTTTGCTGCAAGCTTTTTCACTTCTTCTTCTCCCTTTGCAACTTTTTTTTGAAGGACTTCGCCATTTTATTTCACTTGTCTTTTTCTTTGTTGGACATGTAGAGTTCAAATTCGAGGCGGTTGATATCAACTTGTATGCGATCTTGTTTTGCGTGGGCATCGTCCAAAAAACTTTAAAGCATTTGTATGTTAGTTTTTGTTCTTTATTGTCTTAATTGTTATATTTTTATTCCGGTGTTTTTGTTTTGAATTTTATATACGCTATTTATAAAGGTATTTTTCATGGGGTAGATGAAGAGGTTTAAATGTAGTTTATTATAGTGTTAATTTTGTAGTTAATCGAAGAGACATCTGATTTTAATATGTCTGTTGTAGAGATATACTGAATGCAATTGCTATTAATAAATATAACTTAATATATCTTCAAACTTCCACTTAATAAGTACGTTAGTAAAAAACATGTCATTGTTTTTTAGTGTACTTATTTAACGATATGTGTTTTTAGCGACAAGGTATATTATAATAACGTAGTTTTTTAAAATATGTTTTATTTACGTGATGACATTGTTATTATTATTTACATTTTTAATGGGCTTTAGTTACGACAATTACATTGACTTTTCAACAAAGATGTAATTCCAAAAAAAAAAAAATTGACGGGTGAATTGTTTTTTAAAATCTTATCGGGTCTAACGACCGGCCTCAACAAAAACTCTAAAAAAAATTAGATGAGAAAAGCGTGCAATAGAGTTTGAATAGTCAGATGGATCATCTAGGAATGGGGCAATGAGAAAGCAACTCACCTTTAAGAGCTAACTTATTAAACTTACAATTGGGAAAGCAACATTAAGACAAAAACAACAAAACAACCCATACTTCAGCAAATAAAAGGTCATCCACTCCCCATCCCCACCACTTGTTTGTTAGATTGTAGGAACTTGAAAAAGTGGATTNAGATTGTAGGAACTTGGAAAAGTGGGTTAGTGATGTAACATATGGAACGGGGCTGACTCACTGCTCCACAAAGGCAACATGACCGACTTTCGTGGTACTAACATTAGAAACATAAACGTCGATCGACTTCACTTTACCACTGAAATGATACAAGAATAACTGAAACACCTCTAATTTGCTCTCAGATCTTAGCTATGAGTTGCTCCTCCACCATTCATCAATCGTATATCCTCAATCAGACGGTCCAAGTTACAGGATGAGGACCCACCTTCACTCACAGCCCTTTTCGCCAACTTTGACATTTCATCTGCTGATTTCTTGAACTCATCCCTCCTCACCTCCATCAGATCATTGATCATCTTCTCAACTATGACTCTGTCACAAGTGTCTTTCATGTCCACCCCAAGATTCCAAACCTCCCCCACAAACCTACTATTCACCTGCTGGTCAGCAAAGTATGGCCAGCAGATCATTGGCACACCCGCCAATATGCTTTCCAAAGTAGAGTTCCAACCAGTATGAGTCAAGAAACCACCAATGGATGGGTGGGCCAGAACTTCCTCTTGTGGGGCCCAACCCACCATGTACCCCCTCTCCTTCGTACCCTCCTCCAGCTCAGCCGGAATATGATGTTCTCCATCTTTTCCGGCAACGGAGTCTGGCCGCATGACCCACAAGAATCGCTTCCCACTATTCACCAAACCGTGCCAGAACTCCAAGAGCTGGTCTCTTGTCACCACCGCTATGCTTCCGAAGCTCACATAGAGCACAGATTTCATGGGCTGCTCGTCAAGCCACCTAATGCAGCTCCTATCTTCCTCCCACAAACTGTTCGAAGAGGTCGAGGAGGAAGTTGTTTTTCTGGCGAGGCTGGTCTTCAGTTGACCATGGAGTGGCCCGATGGTGTAGAGTTTTGGACAAACAGAACGGATGTGAGAGAGAATTGATCCTTCAAGGTCTTCAAATGTGTTGAGTATGAGAGCTTGGGCTCGAGGGGTTCGCCTGGTTTCAGTAAGAACTATCTTGAAGTCATCGGATTCCAAGTTGCTGACGCGGCAAAAGCTCGGTAGATCACGTCGCCGGAGAAAGCCTTCCATGCCCTTCACATTCGCTATTCCTTCATCCATATTGTCTCCTACAATTTGTTTACAGTAAAAGTAGGTACATTCTCCGAGAATCAAATACTCAACATATAAAGTGCTTGCGCAAATGCCTCAATTAATGTGTCAACACAAAAAAAAAAAAAAAAATTATTCTAGACATCGGAGGATTAGAAAGCAAAGTAGCAAACTAATAGACAACCCACCATTGAAAGGAAGCTCGCCGGCGTCAATGAGTTCGGGGATGCAAAAATAAGCCCAAAACGAGCAAGCGCTCACCGTACGGAAAAATATAACTGGAATACCAGTCTTTTCACCAACTTCAATTGCTAGACTCAGAATACCATCGGCTATAATGCACGTCACTGGCCGGCGGGCGTCGCTACTCAGACGATCTGAAACTATCAAGTCTATGAGAAATGGTTTCGCTATGGCTTTCAGAGATTCATACATCTGTATTATCCCATCAGGGTTGTGTAAACTTCCTTCATAAAGGCCGTCTGGAAGGGTTTGGAAACTGAATCCGGGATAGTGATTGAACCGGGGTTGGACATTGGTGTGAGTTAGGAGGCGGCCATGGATAGAAGCAGATACAAGGTAAGTGACATGGATGCCAGAAAGGCAGAGAAGCTCAGCGAGCTTGAGCATGGAGTTTACGTGGCCCTGTAGTGGAAAGGGGAAGATGATAACGTGAGGTTGATCCATCAGTGAAGTGTTTCAATCGAGAGTTGAATTGTTGATTTCAGCCTTCAGCTCAACCTAGCCTTGGTGTCCTACTTATAAATCTAGGACTTCTAGGGAACAAAGGAATTAGATGTTGATCCAAATTTTAAGAGCAATGTTGATGGGATCTAATTTATTATTGATATAATTTGTTGATTTAATTTGTTGTGATATTTGAATTCACCGTAGATTTTACAAATCATTAGAACTCGGTGTTGATCCAATAATTCTTATAAAGTCATATTATTATGTCAATAAATTATGTCAAATTTTTAATTCTAAATAGTATTAATCAAATTTTAATGGGTAAATTACATTTGGACGTCTATGTTTGTGGCTTAATCACATAAATTACTTGATATTAAAAATATTATACATGAATCTTTTAAAGTTTGTATGCATGTTACACTTAAATCTCTATCGTCAATATTCACTAATATATCCGTTAGAATTTTATGATGTTGATTCTCATGGGTAAATTACACTTGAATTTTTTAAAATTTGTTATTTTTTTTTTTGGAGGGGAGAGGGAAGAGACTTAAACCCTTGACATAAAAAAGACAAAATTTTCACAAAATAAATAATATCATTTTTTTTTTTGAGGAGGGGAATAGAGTATTCTTGCACCAAAGACTTATTACATAGATCCCGTCAGGAGAGTTGTAACTATATATATCTCTAGCTTAATTAAAATTTGTTACTTAATTACATAGATCCCGTCAAATTTAAAATATTACATTTAGATCCAATTTGTGTATGTAATTAAGTAATAAACTTCAAAAGATCTAATTGAAGGTCTCTAATTTTTCTGGAAATAAATCACCAGAGGTTTTCACCCCTTCTAACTAAGTTCATTTCCAATTATATTTTTTCTTTGTTAATGGTGCATGAATCATAGAATCATAGTTTTTAGAACCGAGCCAAATGTTGAACCGACAAAGAGATTTGATCAATAATTTGTTGGTTCAACTGTTAAGTCAATTGATCGGACTAATTGTATAATAAAAAAATAAAAAAATATGTTCAAAGGGGGCGTTTGGATAGTAGGATAAAGGTGGTTATCCACCAATAAGATGGAATAAAATAGGAGTGGGACCCATAAAACCTTTGTTTGATTGAGAAGTCATTTTTGAGGTAGGATACCAATCTCGGGTCAAAACTTGACCCAATTGCTACAGTTCCATTTAACCCCCATATGGCGATCACACATAACCCAACCCCCTCATGGGTTACAAACCCAGGCACTGGGTTACCCCACAGGTAGACGTATTTGCCCCTCTCTTTCTCCATCCACTCACAGCCAACGACGAATCCCTCTCTCTTTGTGTGTGTGTTCTGTCGTTACCCGTGACTTCAAATTGCACCACTATGACCACCATCAGACCCATCATCGCAACATAAAACCCATCACTAAATCGTGATGTCTACAACCAGAGACATCACCTATACAATCAGTGGCATATCCATGGTGATGATGATAAATATGTAGCAAGGAGAGCAAGATAGAGAGAGAAAGATGGGAGTTGAGGTGGAGGTGGTGGTAGTGGAAGAGATGGGACAGTGAGTTCTGGTGGCGGTGGTGGTGGGATGTATATGGGAGGTGCAGACCATCACGGGCAGATGAATGGTTCTGGCTTCTTCTGGGTTTGAGGGATTTAATTAGGGAAAATTACACTTAAATTTTCTTAATTTTGTCATTTAATTATTCAAACCTCTAATATTTAAAATATTACACACAAATTCTCCTAAATTTATACGCGCGTAACTCTTAGACTCCTCAAGATAAATATATTCGTTAATAAATTACACTTAAACCCCTTTGAAGTTTGTAGTAAGTATATAATACTCAGATCTCTTAAATTTAAATAATTATACTTAGATCAAAAATACTTCAATCAAAGATAGAATATCAAATATTATTTTACAATCAAAATTTATATTCTATTGTATTATTTATTGAAATAAAATTAAAATTTAAAATTTAATTTTTTCTTAAAAAATCGTAAGTAATGTATAATTATATTATCTATTGAAATAAAACTAAAAAAATAAACAAGAGGTCTAAATCATGTATAATTTTTATATATTTTTAAGTATATTTTAAAAATGTATAATTTTATTAGGAAAATCCACATGTCCAAACATATTAAGGCAAGGTTGTTTGCCTTTCTCCAAATGTAATCAATTTTTAAGAAATGAATTAAAGTGTTGATTTGTTTGGAAAAAAAATGTCAAATATATATATATAACTTTCTTTATTTTTATATGTTTTTATGTATATGTGAAAAATGTATAATTTTATTAGGCTTGGATGGGTTAACTAAACATATGATAGAATTGATTTAGATTGGAATGGATAGATTCATGGGTAGAATGATAAAGTACTATAAAATTATTTGTGTAATCTATGGGGTCCACTGAATTATACATTTATTTCTCAAACAAAGGTTATGATTGAATATAATCTTGGGTTAGGATTTTAAAATGGATGAGTGAGTTTGACTTGGATTAGTTATGATATAAACAAAGAAAATCCACCTATCCCATCCCATTAACCAAACACACCCAAAATGCATATAATTTTTCATAAAATTAATAAAGTTAAATTACAAAAAAGCAATATATGTCAAAAAAATTTCCACTAAATACATGTGTCGAAGTTGATGACCCATTTGGCATAAAAAGGCATATTTCAAATAAGGGTAAATGACACCGGTGGTCCTTTAAGTTTGACACGTATTACACTTTTCTCCTCCATGTTGTAACATTGGCTGACTCAAGAGCTAGACAATCTTAAGGTTTGGTTTACGGTACAATCGACCGATCCGGTCTAATTCTAATAATACTACATACCACCTTAACTTATTTTATTTATTATTTAGAAGTAAAATTAGGTAAAAATAACTTTTTTACCACATTGCTTGAGACAGAGGGGTAACGAAATGTATTTCGTGTAGTAGATGATTTTTTTATTTTTAGAGTAATCTACAAATACTACGATTCCAATTAATTTAGTGCAAGTTGTAATGCACATAAAATAATTCTATACAGACAAGATGCGTTTGGTGACATTGTTAGGTTCAATGTCTCGGACTGTACAAATAAGTTTTGCTTTTACATATACAGAGGGAACAAAATTATATAAGGGAAGCTAGTAGGGTGATTGGAAATAGGCTTAAAGATATCATATTTTGAAATTAAGTTCGATTATGGTAAGAGTTGTGATTTATCTTATGCACTTGGTATTTGAATAGTTAAGCGCATATTCGTATTAATTACGAGTCTAAAATGATGGTGATTGGTGGGTGATTCTTCTTCATTATTTGTAGCTAAATTATTGTCATTCGATTACGATATATAGAATAAGTGATAAGGATGTGGTGCTAGTTGATCCACACAATGAAGTCATAGATAAAATATAGTTAAATATTACACGGATCTAATTTGAAAATATAGTCAATAACGAAATATGTAGTAATTATTGAATGATTACAAGTGATTAGATCTATAGATTTAAAAAGAAAAAGGGAAAAAAAAAAGGTGTACCAAAGATGAATCATGTAAAATTAAAGTTAAAAGATATAGTAAAACTTCCAGATTAATCAGTCAGTCCAAAATATGGATGATACATTGAATATAATAGTTATATCACGTTAGTATTAATTGTTAAATTTATAATATAAAATAAAATAAATTTTAATAAATTCATTCAATCGTCTTACGTAAGCTGNGTATTAATTGTTAAATTTATAATATAAAATAAAATAAATTTTAATAAATTCATTCAACCGTCTTAGCTTATCAACGATTATAAACCTTCCTTTCAAAATTATTGCATTACAGGTGTCTTCAACCAATAGTAATCTCTAATATTAAATAAACAAGCCAAACATATCACGTATGCACCAGAAGCAACAAACTTTTTCTGTGGAGTGCAAAACCAGACAAATAGTCAATAAAGACACACAATAATTGTACGCATGATACACAAATTTGTACTACTTGTGTAATACGACAGCTAAGTCCTACCCTTTCACCATGAATTAAAAGAAAGATAATGCTATATTTAATAATTATAATTATTAATTCTATTATAAATGTTATCACTTATTAAAACTCATTATCTATTTATCTATGATCTTATCTTAACAAATGTTATCAAAATTTAAATTCAAAACATTTAAAATTAATAATTCGTACATATTACTACGAAAACTACACGCTAGAATTACTTTGCAAGATGTCATTGAAGCCAAATACGAGTTATTTTTCCTGGTAAAAATTATGAGGTCAATCTTCCATTAGAATTAGCATAAAAAATCAACATTATAGTGCCCATTGAAAAATTTATCNTTTTTCCTGGTAAAAAATTATGAGGTCAATCTTCCATTAGAATTAGCATAAAAAATCAACATTATAGTGCTCATCGAAAAATTCATTAAATTATTTGTATCAGATTAGTATGAATGATTGGATATTGGGTCCAACTAAATTTCTTTATTATCCCAAATTTGATACAAATTTTGGTAAACACAATATTATTAAAGAAATTAATCATGGGTGGTCCCACTCATCAATCTTATATCCTCGATCAGACGGTTCAAATTACTGTATGATAATCCACCTTCACTAACACTTTCTTTTGNTAAACACAATATTATTAAAGAAATTAATCATGGGTGGTCCCACTCATCAATCTTATATCCTCGATCAGACGGTTCAAATTACTGTATGATAATCCACCTTCACTAACACTTTCTTTTGCCAATTTGGCCATCTGATTCGCCTTTTCCAAAAATTCCTCTTTCCTCACCTCCATCAGATCTTTCACCGCCTTCTCAACTATGGCTCTGTCACAGGTGTCCTTTATGTCCAATCCTAGCTTCCACACCTCCCCCACATACCTACTGTTCACCTGCTGATCAGCAAAGTACGGCCAACATATCATCGGAACTCCGGCAGCTATGCTCTCCAACGTAGAGTTCCATCCACTGTGTGTCAAGAACCCACCAACTGCTGGGTGCCCCAACACCTCTTCTTGAGGAGCCCAACCTACTATATAACCTCTCTCTCTCGTACCCTCAGAGATTTCCTTCGGAATCTGACTCTCCCAATCTTTTCCTGCGACTGAATCCGGCCTAATCACCCAGAGGAATCGTTTCCCACTATTCACCAGACCGTGCCAAAACTCCATGAGCTGGTCTCTCGTCATCATTGTAAGACTTCCAAAGCTTACGTATATCACAGATTTGGATTGTTGTGCGTCAAGCCAAGTGATGCAACTCTTGTCTTCTTCCCACAAGCTGTTTGATGACAGTGAATATGGCGTTGCTGCCGCTGCGAGTTTGGTCTTCAGATGTGCATGTTGTGGTCCGATGGTGTAGAGATTTGGACAAACAGTACGTATATGTGAGAGTATGGGTCGTTCTAGTTCTTCAAATGTGTTGAGAATGAGTCCACGGGCTCTTGGGTTTTCTTCGCCCTCCATCTTGAGGATTGATATAATTGGATCAGATAGGTCACCGGAACGGCACCAGCTCGGAAGATCACGTCGCCGGAGAAAACCCTCCATGCCCGGAACACTTTTTATCAGTGGGTCCAAGTCATTCCCTTACACGCAACAGTATTTAGGACTCGTTAATTTCAAATATCAAAGTAATCAGATTTCTAGATTACAATAGCATTACTCTCGATTATAACTCACTGTTATATTAATTGGGAAACAGAAGATATATCCTCTTTGCTCTTCTTCTAAAAAAATACTCTGGTGCGTTTGGTTAGGAAGGGAAAAATAATAAAAAATAAAATAAAAGAAAAAAAAATGATAAAAAATATATTTTCATGTATTTGGTCAAAATAAAAAATTTATCGAAAAATTTTAAAATAATTTCATTATATTGTTTGAAAGAAAAAAAAGTTATAAGAAATTATTTATAATTGTTTAAATTACCCTTAATTATATTAAATTAGTCTAAAAAAAATAAATATGTAATTATAATTGAAAGTTTTAAAATTTTAAAAAAAAATGCTCGAAACTTAATTTTAAAATAATCACCAATATAAAAGTTTTTGGNTAAAAGTTATAAAATTTAAAAAAAAAATGCTCGAAACTTAATTTTAAAATAATCACCAATATAAAAGTTTTTGGGCCAAATTATATGATTAATCAAATTCATAACAAAATTTTTTTAAATTAATAACCAAAATATTTTTTTTAAAAATAAGGATAAAATAGAAAATTAGTTATAGATCACAACTTTCTCTGCATTTTCTTTGTGTTTTTTACAAGAAAAAAGAGTTACTTATTTGTGAAAAAATTCAAGCATGAAAAAAAATTATTTTTTCCATCATTTTCCTTCTCATCCTAACCAAATTCCTTTTCATACTAACCAAAGGCATAAANAAAGTTATTTATTTGTGAGAAAATTCATGCATGAAAAAAAATAATTTTTTCCATCATTTTCCTTCTCATACTAACCAAATTCCTTTTCATACTAACCAAAGGCATAAAAATATTTTAAATTTTTTTTTCTTGCATTTTTTATCATTCTCCCGCTAAACAAACGAACTCTTAGACAAATAAAAAAGACAAATGATTAATACTATTTTAATTCAAAATTTTGACTTAATTTATTTAATCATATAATTTTATTATAAGTGTTGGATTAACATAAAATTTTAATATTTTATAAAGTTCACACTCAATTCAAAAATTATAATAAATTAAGCACAAATAAGATTATCAACAACAAACTAATGGAGGGTAAAGAGAAGGCAAATACAGTCAAACACACCTTCAAAGAGAAGCTCATCAGCTTCGATGAGTTTGGGCAGACAGAAAAAGACCCAGAGGCTGCAAGGACTAACCGTACGGGAATATATAACTGGAATTCCAATCTCATCAGCAACATCACAAACAAAACCCAAAGCACCATCTGCTATGATACATGTCAACGGCCGACGGGTTTCAGAACTCAGGCCGCCGGAAATTAGCATCTCTTTGAACAGTTTCTTGGTTATGGACTTTAAAGAATCGAACACCTCCATTATTCTGGCAACGGAACGGGGATGATCTTCCTGCAGGCCATCAGAGATGGTTTCGACATGTAACCAGGGATAGTTTTGAAAGCGGGAATGAAAAGTAGAGTGACGTTGAAGACGATTGTAGATGTAGTCGGTGAGAAGGATGGTGATGTGGAAGCCTGAAAGGCAGAGAAGCTCGGCTATCTTAAACATGGAGTTTACAGGGCCCTGGAAGGGTAACGGGAAGATGAGTACGTGAGGTGGGAGTGCACTTTGATCCATCAGATAGACTCACTGGTTTAGTTTGATTTTTAGCAAAAGCTTCAAACTTTGAAAGATGTATTGAACTCTAAAATGGAACCTGGTTTGATGCAAGATTACAACTTCTGTTATTTATGAACGAAATAACACGTCAAAGGATAGAGTCGTAATAAAAAAATACAGCAATGCTACGTGGACTTAAAAAATAGACTTAATAATCTCAACCATTAATTTCACTGTGAGTCTCAGCATTTATTGAGACACACTACCTATTCAATGGTTCGAGTCTAATTTTTAAATCCATCTACCATTACTCAAAAAAATAAGATTAATTGTANTGATAATCTCAACCATTAATTTCACTGTGAGTCTCAGCATTTATTGGGACACACTACTTATTCAATGGTTCGAGTCTAATTTTTAAATCCATCTACCATTACTCAAAAAAATAAGATTAATTGTAAATTGTAACCCGAAAGATCGTTTGAATCTTAATTTGTATATTTAAAAATCAAAAATTTTAATTTATACATTTAAAGATAAAAATTTGTATCAATATGCACACTTAAAAATCAAAAATCTCAATTTATACTCTTAAAGATAGAAATTTGTATTAACATGCACCCTTAAAGATTAAAAATCTCAATTTGCACCTTTAAAGATAAAAATTTGTATCAATGTGCAACTAAAATTTATTACAGTCACTTTGCTACCTAAAATTAAATTTATAAATTATACCTAAATCCCCTCATACTTGTCGCTTAATTGTTTGGACCCCTTCACATTTAGAATATTACTCCCATATTTCATGAAGTTTGTTTACGTGTAACACGTAAACTTTTTTTGTTGATATTTGTTAATATAACTGTTTAAAAATATGATTTTATCCTAATAAAAATTATAATTTCATATTACCCTTTATTTTGTGGGTCCGATATACTCTAAAGTTCAAAATCAAGCTTACCATTTGAATGTCCAATAGAATATAGATATTTATATAATATTTTCTTATATGGAATGCAATATATCACTTAAACATAATTATTTGAATGCCCAATTGGGGGAATATTTTAGATTGAGAGTATTTTTATTATGATTTTATAACCATTAAAAAATATAATTTTATCCTAATAAAAAATTATAATTGCATATTATATTTTATTTTGAGAAGCGGTCCAAATAATTAAGTGACAAGCATGAGGGTATTTAAATATAATTTATCAATTTAGTTTTAAGCAACAAACTGACGACAATTAGTTTTAGATGCACATTAATACAAATTTCTATATTTAAGGGTGCAAATTAAGATTTTTGATTTTTTGGTGTGCACATTGATACAATTTTCTATCTTTGAGAGTACAAATTGAGATTTTTGATCTTTGGGTGTGCACATTGATACAAATTTCTATATTTAAATGTGCAAATTAAAATGCGAACAATCTTTTTGGGGTACAATTTATAATTAACCCAAAAAAATATAATAATTAAGGTGTGTTTGTTAATTCAAATTTATCACTTAAAATAAATGTAATCGACATTTATTATTTAAACCCTAAAATTTAAATTCTTTTAATATGTTAGGTGCTCTTTAAATATATGTTACAATATTAAGTAGGAGATTCTTTATTTAATTTTGAAAATTAAAAGCACTCAGTAAAGTCTCTTTATTAATATTTAAAATATAACAATTATGTCCCAAAATATGTTTCAATTCTATTAAAACTCTAATTAATTTTCTATCCAAAACTCTTAGCTGACCATCTTCGTCAACAGGTAATAGATAAATATCTTTCGAGTAATATTACACTGACTAAGTTTTAGAACCAAATCAAAATCTCAAATAACATGGCAACTGACTTGACATTTTTTATTTGGTGTCATCTCATTTGATTCCCAATAAAAAACTTCAAATAATATACTGTCATATCATTTGAGCTCTTGATTTAGTCTTAAAATTTGATCAACCTAAGATTACCGATATCTTTCCTCTCTTCTTCTTGTTTGTTTTTTTCCTTCCTTTGTCTTGTCCAACCAAAAATACATATTTAATTACACGCACACAATTTCACACACACGCACACTATGCACCCAAACGCATGCAGTGCACGCACATAGTTGTACACACACAAGCACACATACACACACATAGTTATGCACACACACGTTGTGCACACACACATCACAAATGCNTACACCCAAACGCATGCAGTGCACACACATAGTTGTACACACACAAGCACACATACACACACATAGTTATGCACACATACACACACACGTTGTGGACACACACATCACAAATGCCTTTCATTGGTTCTTTTTCTTTTTTCAATTTTTTTTGATTATTTATTTGTTATTATCCTTTTTTTTTGAGTAGATATTATTATTCATTTATTATGTTATTTATTTTATTATTATTTACTTATTGTGATTGTTCACTTATTACTATTCTATTAAATTACTTTTATTATCATATTTGTTAACTATAGATTACAATATGATAATAGTGATTATAATTAATGTTATGAATTAAACTGATTTGATATATTGTAATTTTTTTATTATTTAAAAACATATTTTATAAATATTTTTAAATTAAAGAGTGAAAGGATAAAACAGAAAATTAATTTATTTTCAAATCTTTCCTCTATCTAGTTATCAAATAGTTTAGTTTAATTCAGTAATTAAATTTTAGCAGTTATCAAACAGTTCACGAATTCAGACTTCAGCTTCTTATTTTTAGACTTCAACTTTCAATTTTATTAAACTCATCTTAATAATGATATTAAGATCTAAAAAATTAACCTTCGCGATTAGCTAAATTGCAAAATTAGTAGTCCTATCATAGTTTCAACATTATAATGCGTATCTCATCAGGTTTTGTCCACAAAGTGGTATTAGCAAAATACTTGTTCTGCCACTTTTGTCAATACTAAGCGTTAGCACACATCATGCTTGTGGGTATCTCGTTTACCGTAAGAGTAAGTTATGGAGGATACAAAAAATAAAGGGTAAAATTTATTTTTAGTCCTCAAAATATATATTTAATTATATATTTGGTTTTCAATCTTTCAATTATATCTAATTGATATCTAAGGTTCTTAATGTGTATCTAAGTAGTCTAATCTCAAATGTCCGTCAAAAAATCTTGATAGTTTTAGTCACGCATCAATCACGTGATTCTTAATTTTGTCTCTATTTAATTTCTAAAGTTCATAGTTTGTGCCTATTTAGTTTCAAGTGATTGTCTCGTGATCAGAGACGTTAACGATTTTTTGATGGAGGTTTGAGATTGAATCACGTTAATAGAAATTAAGAATCTTTTGGACTAAATAGACATAGAAAGATAGAGACCAAATAGATACTACACACATACTTTAGAGGATAAAAATATATTTTATCCTAAAATATAAAAACATAGAAAGACTAATAACGATGATAAGTTAAGAATGATTATGGGTGCTTGAGGGGTAATATAGATATTTCATAATGCAGACCCCAAACCCCTATTCGCCCTTAACTAGTTGTATAGAATCTTATTTCTCCAAACACCTTGGATTAAGACAGACTCAAACAACGATTAAGATGCATCCAACACAACGGCCAAACATACTTAAAATCACACATTCTCTCTTCTAACCAATTTTGTTCGTCAGGTTTATTATTTTATGTATTTTTTATTTTTTATATTGTATATTTTTTTCCTTTTATAATGAATGATAATACTTGAATCAACAGAAAATCTACGAATACAGATCTCTCTCATAGACTTGTTCTTGTGGAAAAAGTATCTGATGAAAATGCCAATCAAATTAGAAGTGGTGGAGAGTTATTTTAAAAGCTATGTAGGACCCGTTTGTAATTTAACTTGACCAAAAGAGACGTGACTACTTTTTCCATCATTTTTTGTAAAGTATTATTTTTGGATCTAGTGCTTTTCTATTTTTTTTTTTTTTTGTTAAAGGGTGTTTAAGTTTGTATCGATTACTCTATCGTGTTTAAATATTAGTTACCGTAGTTTAAGCGAATTTAAAATATATTTCCGGATACACAAAAATAACTAACCTTTAATGAATATAAAAAACATTAAACCTAAAATGTCGAATCTAATGTTTCTTAATCATTACAAGACAAATGGTTTACCCGTCTCTATAGGAGATTGATTTATTGGTGGTCCCTAATATTATTCTAATAAAGATGTTAATTTCATATCACATTTTCTTATGGAAATTATGGTGATCGTGTGGAAAAATGAAAACCATAACGACAGCTATCAGAATCAGTAATAGACGTGATATGACTAACAATCTATGTTACAACAAAAAATATTCTGTCATGCATGAAGTTTTATATATTAAATTATTATATCTTATTTTTTAAATGGCTAGTCTAAGTAGTTAGTATTTTTTTATCAAGAAAATTTGAAGTTATATGCCCAAAGTATTTGACTGAGTGGCAGACAATGTCCTATCAACCACCAAACACTGTAAAACACTTTGCATTTTGTCTTGCTCTACCTGTCTACATTTTTCATTACAGAAATACAATGTACATAAAATTTGGAGCTAATCTCACTTTGTATTATCAAATATTAAAAATTTTAATTTATATATTAAAATATTTAAATTTTTTATTTGTATTCTCAATGTTATGAANTCATTAAATATTAAAAATTTTAATTTATATCTTAAAATATTTAAATTTTTTATTTGTATTCTCAATGTTATGAATTGATAATAATATGAACATGACTCAAACTGTCGTTCAATTTTTTGTCAAAAATTAAAATACGTAAGATACAAGTGTTTCAGGCATGAGAATGAGGTATGTCCATCTCTGCAGATTTTTGTGTGCGATCAATTTGAAACAATTTTATTTTGTGTATCAAAAGTATGTTTTCATTAATCAAATAAAGACTAACTCCATCATGCGCAACTCATATGCCGTCAACAATTTATGAATTTACACATAAGTTCATGACTAAAGCATTTACAATTCACATGTTTCAATTTATCATGAAAAATTGATTGATAATCTGAGTTAGATTCATATTTATGCCAATTCATAATATTAAAGGTGTAAATTAAAATTTTTAATATTTAAAGATGTAAA